CTTACAAACAGAGAGTCAGAGAGTCATAGAGTTGTTCTCCTTAGTAGAAGCTGCTGTTTTCTGCGTTAAAACAAAATCAGTTTAAACTTGAAGAAGACTGGTTATCCTTCTTGCAACATTTGCTATGAGCTGTGACATAGTGAATCAGTTGCTGCGTACGTGTCGCAAACCAGTGGAAGCTTCCAGAGAAAAACAATACATCATCAAGGGTCTGGCTAGCCAAAGAAAGATTGTCTCAATGCAGGAATTGGGAAGCAAAGACCACTGAACTGACTTTCCAGTATTTTTTTTTTACCACCGGCAATAATTAATTTTTCCTCTTTGTCTGTGGGTGAAAGTGTGTGTGTGTGTGTGTGTGTGTGTGTGTGTGTGTATGTGTGTGTGTGTGTGTGTGTGTGTGTGTGTGTAAGGGGGATTTTATAAGGGGATTAGAGTTGTGGTTACTGGCTTATATGCCAATGGTTTGTATCTGTTCACCTGTACCTATGGTCTAATTACTTATAATAAATAACAATTCATGTTTAGTACAGAAACGTGGTCCATGCTTTCAATCAACCTTGGTCTGAAAGTGAGGTAAATTGGGATACTGTGCGTACCTTAAAAAAAACTTTAACATTTGGTATGACTCCAGGAATAGTGGGGCTCAATCCATGGCACACTAACCATTATGTATGAAATCAAAACCAGGATTTTTATTCACTACTAACTAATGGGCTCTTAGGAAGGATGTACTATATGCTCAATAAAGTTTTAAAAAAAGGCAATAAAAGTTCAAAGTGTTGATTGAAGATCTTTGCGCTATCATTGCAGAATAATATTACTTCCAGACTCGCAGGAGAATATGATGGGGTTTTGCCCTCAGAAAGCTAACTTATATGACATGTATTCTTCAAAAATATATGCACAGTCATGAAGAATTTTACTTAGAAAATACCTTATAATTTAAACTGCAGAAAAATAAAGAATATGGCAAAAACAAATATTTTTGACTAAAAACCGCGAGAACAGTGGAGGCTGGAAATCATATGGAGAAATAGAAGTTGCTTGAAAAGCACAGCAGATCTGGCAGTATCTATGGAGAGAAATCAGAATTAATATTTTGGGTCTGGTGATCCTTCTTCAGAATCCCTCACAGGGTCACCGGACCCAAAATATTAACTCCGATTTCTCTCCACAGATGCTGCCCGTACTTGCTGAGCTTTTCCAGCAATTTCTGTAAACAAATATTCTCTATTTGATTTTTAATTACTGCATAACATATTATCTGGATGAATAAAATATTCAACTGAATCATTTCAATGTAACAAAAACAGTAGAGCTTTTCACATGTCTGACTGCGATATCAAAGATATTTGAAAAAGGTAAATCACAATTTACACCAGAAAACGTTTTAAGCCTGAATATCAAATCACTGCGTTACATGTCGCTCAAGCATGTATGTGGAAATTATAAATCGTTAACAGAGGCTTGCCTTAGGATCATAAATAGGCACTTAACATTAATTAGTATTTTAAATAAATGCTTCCTTTAACGTGATTTATGAAGCCAAAAAATATGTTGAAAACAGACTTCAAAGGTGAACTTCTGGCTATTTCTTGCCTAGGAACTGTGATCAATCTATTAGTCTGACGGATTGTAATTGCCTAATTTAGTTTGAGAAGAATATGAATTCAGTCATCAATGAACAGCAATGTGCGAAATAAATTGAAGTGTGAATATTACAGAATAAACAAAGCTGAAATGTAACAGTTCAGCTCTTTATCGAGTCCTATTAGAGCATGCAAAATACTAATAAGCACCATTTTTTGTCAGTTGAATGGAATAGTATCATAGAATTATCACAAACAAATATTCGATGTAAATAAACAGGCAAATCAGTGAGCTGAAGTCTAGAATTCTTTCAACAGAAGGGTTCAAAGCCCTTCAATAAATTGAAACATTGGAAACAACTCAATGCAAAATGCATCATTGATAATCACATTGGTCTATCTGTTTCAAATGGAGGTTTTGAACTACTGCCAAACATTGCAAACAATGGAAAATCTATGGGTTAATTTCATGCTACTTGCTTGTTTCCTCATGAGATTTATATTATATATACAGGTTATAACTTACCACGTGCTTGCAAACAACTGGTTTTGAATGATACGTATTATAGAATCTTTAGGGCACAAATTTCAATCAATCCTCTAGTTCCATTTCCATTCTACGGTTTTTTAAAAAACTTTTTTTAATTACACCTCCTAGAATCCTCACTTTGTCGTTATTACTACATTCTTAGGTACTCTTGCCTCCCAAATCCTTATCCCAACTCTTCAGTACTTCTCCTGCTGTCTTCCCAGACTTGACTCAATTAAAAATAAGACTACTGCTCCTTTTATCCTTCTTTTGGCATCTCTGAACGGCTCATTGAGGCACCACACTCTGCCTCGTTAGGAGCCGCAACCTGAACTGTTCTGTCCTACTCGGTCAGTGGCCACCATGTTCAATGAATCCTCAGAGTTAATCTTGACAACTCTCCTCATTGTTCAACTTGTTATTTCCATTGCTGACATTGTGGAACTCTGTTCAGGCATTATTATTCACCATACCCCTCTCCAAGACTTCCTCCTGAATTTCTGTTCGGTCATGAGCTTATCCTGCACGATTAAGAGTGATATCATGGCATTGAGAGAAATATGATTCAACTGTGGTAACTTTTATTGCCTAAATGAAGTATATTTCTGGTTATACCTCTGTCAGTTACCCTGTTCAGACTGCCATGGTGATAATCATCCCTTCCTATCTTCTCTTACTCTGGCACTTTAGTCTTCTTGAGCATTTCACTTTGTTCCACACCTTCCATTGAAAATCTTTATTCTCTACCATCCACCTTCTCTCAGGATCTGCAGTGAGTGACTTCTCAACCTTCACCTCAATTCATCATATGCTCTTTCTTTGGAGTTCATTGCCCTTCTATCCTGCTCCTAATCTCTTCCTTCACATAAACTCCACGGGCCTGTTGATAGCTACCCTGGACCTTGTTGACTCATACTGCAAGGCCATTCTAATCACATCAATCACAGATAAGGCCATCTTGGATTATTTTCTTTTCCAGTATCACACTCCACTCATAGACCCTTCCCTCTTCCAATCCTACATCTTTTGGTGTCCATTCCTAAAAATAAATTCTCTCAACTCACTTACAACTGCTCTTTCGAAGGCCTGCTCTCTAGCCTTGAGCCTTTGCTCACCACAACAGCTCTGCATTACTGACTGATCAAGAACACCATCACCTATAGTTTTGACATCCCAGTACCCCAATGAAACATTACTTTCACTCATCCTAGTCAAATCCCTAGTCAAACAGGCATCACTTCTGTTCCTTTGTTTCAAGGATTCAGCCTTACATGATTTAGCATTCAATTAGTTTAATCTTTCACTAATAAATCTGGCTTGACTATATAAAACACTGTTAGGTACTCCTCTCATATTCCAAAACTGTACTCTATTTCAGAATCACCTGGATTGCAAAGGAAAGCCACTGGCTTATTTTTGTCTGTCACAAACCAATTTCTTAACCTTCTCTTCCACACTTCCTTCACCTATCTTCTACCAATATGTGTAAGGAACTCATGAAAACTAAGATTGTGGCCAGCTGATCAGCTTCATCCGCCGTGTTATTTCCGTCCCCCAGGGCGCTGAGCCAGACATATTCTAAAATCCCCTCAGACCATTGTAGTACTGAAACTGCATCTCTCTGATATTTCATCAGAGAGATTATGTTGTCTGTGAGATCCATATTCTGACCCTTGTACTCTACTCCAACTAAAACACTGATTAGCCAAGTTCCCTTTCTGGCTTCCATGTCAGCTAATGTTATGAGCAGCTCTCTCTCTTCATGAACTGGATCCCACTCCTAATCTGCCATCTTTTGTCCAAGAAAAATTAACATTCAACAACAAATTAACAGGAGCCAATGGAGTATATCCCAGGTTCTAAAAGAGGCAGCCGACAGATGGTGGATACACTGATAAGGTTTTCTAAAAGTACCTCAATTCTAGAACAGTCTCAGCAAATTAAAAAATGTAACACCACTAAATTTAAGTGTTGTATGATGCATTCCCGCTCCTTTTTTTTGTGCTTATGTTCCTAACACAAATTTACATGATTATGATTTCAGATCCTAGAATGAAACATGGCAAGATAGATCACAAGATGAACTTCTTTAGTTGGTGACCATGGTGCATAGTCACTCAATATATTAACATAAGGTTGCCAATGCTCTTTAACAGAAGAACACAGGTTTATTACACACAAATAAACTAAGCTTTAGAAGACACATTAGGAAGATCATAATATAAACAACAAAAGAAATTCAAGCCATTTCCCAGCATTAACCTTTACTGATACTCAATCCCAGTGAAGTATCATATCCATCTTACTATTTTAATTTCTTAACTGTCTCTTTCCAGCTTTGATGGCCTAGAGATGTCTTTCCAGTCTGATAATCTAAACAACTTTTCATTTCTGACAGCTTGAAAATTTCTACAGAAACTCTCATAGTCTGGAAAGTTCACAAACTGGAACCTTTCTGCTGGGGTGAAACTGTTCTCTGGAACTGAAAACTGATTTTGAAAGCTTAAAAAAAAAACTAGTGGTGCCGGTCTGTTTTCTCTGCTTGCCATAAAATTCAATTTTGTAAACACTTCATCGATAACCACCACATTTATCCTACTAGGCACTTAGCTTAGGTCACATGCCTTTTTGGAAATGACAGCATCAGTTCACTGTTCCAAATTACTTCTTGATCTTTTTTTTTTTTAAAAAACAATTACATTTCCAGAAGTGAAACCACAAATCTGGTTTGCTTGTTGTTTAGAATTCAAATGATAATAATATAATCCACATCTTTATCATAACATTTTGAAATGAAATGGAAAAATTAGTAAATAAGTGCCAAAAGATGAAAGACTCTCTTGTTCTTATGACGTAATGTGTAATCCTATATGTTCACTCACCTCCATAAATGAGATCCCAAAACTCCACACATCTGAATGTATTCCATACTGTTCACCTGCTATTCTTTCAGGCTGTAAAAGGAATGAAATAACTCTTAAAAAGTGTTATGTTTTGGAACAATAATCTATAATCTAATGAACTGATTAGTACATTTCCACTCCAATGTAACAATAGTCTGAATTTAATGTGTGCTCCCATTTGATAAAAAAAGCTTTTAGTAGTTAGTTTCCTCATGTTGCAGGCCACACATTCAATGCTGATTTTCAACTGCACTCTTACAAGAGTGGTACAGATTCCCTCCAATTATACCATCCTCGAATGAAACTGTTAGTTGAGGACTGAATTACGATCATAAATCTGCTCCCCAATATACAGCAGAAACAATAGATGTGAAGTTTTTAATGAGGAATCTACATGGCATTCCATACATATTTCCACATAAAATCTCAATACATTCCATACATAATACATTTTTATCTAAATGGGATAAAAATGCTCACAGGCCAAGATATACAAATAAAAGGAACGACAGCTCAAATTTTTACTTTTTTGTATTATTGTTATACCACATCACTGCAGGAGGATGGATAACAGTACAAATAATTTCTTCAATGGTAAAATCAATGGCTCAATAATGATTTAAGGTTGGCCTGAATTTAACTTGCTTGTTCTTCCTGAAGGGGAAACAAAACTGAAGCTCAATAAACGGTTCGTAGATTTCTAGGGAATGGGTCAAATTCAACTCCTAGTTTCAAGCCAAGCAATGACAAATAATATACATTTAATGTTTGTAAGGGAATTATTAAAAGTATCAAAATGAGAACAGGGTGCCTGGGTAGTGATAAAAAAATCAAATTAGATCTGGTGTTTTACAAGAAAGATGAGAAAACATGCAACCAGTTTTAATTATAGGTTCTCCCACTACAGAGTACCTTCAAAACCTAATTTACATTAACCTTCAGGTTATATGATTAAATAAAGCAGTTTTTCCCCATTCAATTACACAGTGATAATTGGCTATAATCAACAGTAATGAAGGGCAAAAGGGTAACCCAATACGTGCAAAACTACATTTAAGTTCTTAGGAAGTATTAAAAGCAAAACCATCTGCAATCAAATGTTAAATGGAAGAGTGAGGGGCTTTAACACTGTCAATTTTCTTCTGCAAAACCTTTTCCTGAAAAGAGGTTGTATTTACATTGGTATTCAGTGGTGTTTGCATGTGATTTCTAAATCCAATCAGAATTTGGCTGATTCTATTCCTGCTCTATCCAAAAGTTAAACCCAGATCAGAGGAACTCACAGCTTAGTTCCTAACTCTAACAATAATATCATTAGGTTTGAAGCAATTAGGGAAAAGAACAAAGAAAATTCAAATGTGAAAATACTCATTGGAGGAAAGCAAGTTTCAGAGAAAAGGGATTTGACCTATCTGGATTGAAATCAAAGATTTGCAAGTAATCTTAAATTAGGAAACATCGATCTTGCAAAGGAAGAAGCAAAAGTCAATCTACTTTCTACGAAGATTTATCCACAATCCCCTCTGCAGCATAAGTGCAGAGCACTTTTCTCTTCTACAGACCAATGTCAGCAATTGGGTGGAAACCAGTTCTTTCTTTAGACTACCAAATCACACAATTAACTAATTCAGCAGTGTCAGAATATCAAAAAAAATCAAAAAGATGGGGAAACAAGGGAGGGAATTAAAATCACAATAGTACTGGAAGGGTGGATAATGCATTTCATTTCTCACAGTGCCCACCTCTCTTAGTTCTGAGAGTGCTGAACATCCAGGCATGAATGTAGCCATGGATGACAGGCAGGCAGTAAGAAATGACCTGTTGATGGCTGTTTTAGCCAGGCCCAGGAGCAGGACCAAAAGGAGGTCTTTCTATCCACCCTTCACACTGCAGTCCCCACTGAAGCCACTTTCTTTCTTCTTAAAACTGAGAGTCCAGGGAAAGGTAACCAACGTGAGCATTTGTGTTAAAGTCTAGGACTTGGGTCTAGTTTAATGAACCTGTTGAGATATCTCACGACACATCTGGGGCAGGTGGGACTTGAATGCAGACCTTCTGAATCAGAGATAGGGGCACTGCATTTGCAGCACAAGAGAGAAATCAGTTCTTTGTTTAATTAAAAAAAAAACATAGAACTGCAGATGCTGGAAGCTGAAACAAAAACAGAAATTGTTGGAGAAGCTCAGCAGGTCTGGCAACATCTGTGGAGAGAAAGCAGAGTTAATGTTTCAGATCCAGTGATCCAGACTAGAAATAAAAGTAAACTGAAATAGAGTTGGAGGGGCAAAAAACCAGTTGTTATATACAACTCTATCTAATATTAGTTGCTTTTAAACTCAAATTGAAATTGACCCAGGATTTGAAATATTAAAAGGTAAAACAGTAAATGAATGGAATAGATTATTTGATTGCAGAATTAACATGAGGGAAAAAAGGAAAGGCACCCAAAGCTTGAGCACACTGAATGACTTGTTACAAAGACTAGAATTCAACAGAAAAGGGAGATTTTTGATAGATATAAGGTTTGTGATCGAGTAGAAAACCAAGATGAATACAAAATTTCAAAGGCATACGGAAAAAAGAAATAAAGGGACAAAAAGAGTACATAAGAATAGATTAGCAGATAGCATAAAGGGAATCCAAAGGTTGTGCAACAATATCTAAACAGTAAAATGATAGTCAAACGCTGGGTGGACCTTTAGAGACCAAGGACATCATCTTCTAAAGGCTGAGAACATAGTTGAGTACTAAGTGAATATTTTGGCTCTGTCTTCACAAATATAAAGAATGCTGCCAATGTCACATTAAAGGTATTGGACCAAGTAAAACTGGGAAGGTTAAAAACAGATGAAACAAATAGGTATTTTAAAGGGTGGCAGCACTCAAAGTAGAAAAGTCATCAGGTCAGGATAGCATAACTCCCAGACTCTAGGTATTTAGAATGTGCATCACTACTGAACACCTGGAGCATTTCATAAAAATGACAGCACTGTATGCAAGATCTAAAAAAATTGCATTTGGAGACTTATATTTGAACTTGGCATGATACAGTTGTGTAAAACAGCATAGAATATGAGTAAGGGAGGATTAAACTAAGTAGGTCCCCTGTAGAGACAGTATACACATGGGGGAAAAATATCATTCTATGTTAATATTTCTATAATTTCAATCTGCCCAATGGGTTTAATCGCACAGAACCAGCACTATTTCTATTACATGTATCATTATCAAGGAATGTTCACATTATGTCAAATAGCTTCTGTATGTGAGAGGGGCGGGGGGAGGTGCTGTTAGAAGAGAAACAAAATCACTGACCCCCTGAACATTAGCACAACGGTTTCATATGTGAACTGGGTACCTACTGAAGGCATCAAACCAAAAGTACTTTGCAGAAATATGAATGTACAAGATAAATAGAGGGAAATTGGATTTTGTGAACGGGTAATTCAGGCAGAAGTGCAATAATAATAAAGGCCAATTGGCAAGCAAGGTGCACACATTTGGTGCACTCATTTATGAACTAATAATCCAGAAATTTAGACTAATAATCCAGAGATGAAATGCCACAATGGCAGTTCGAGAATGTGAATCCAACTGTCAATATTTGGAAATAAAAATTTGGAATCAATCAGGAGGGGACATGATGAAGTTGTAGAATTGTTACAAATATTAACTAGTTCACTAATGTCTTTCAGGAGTGACAGTGGTTAGCACTGCTTTTCCTCACAGCGCCAGGGACCCAGGTTCGATTCCACTCTCGGGCGATTGTCTGTGTGGAGTTTGCACATTCTCCCTGTGTCTGCGTGGGTTTCCTCCGGGTGCTTTAATTTCCTCCCACAGTCCAAAGGTGTGCAGGTTAGGTGGGTTGGCTATGCTAAATTGCCCAGAGTGTCTCTGGTGGGAAATACAGGTATAGGGTAGGGAGTGTGTCTGGGTGGGATGCTCTTCAGAGGGTCAGTGTGGACTCGGCCAAATGGCCTGCTTCCACACTGTAGGGATTCTGTGAAATAATACCGCCATCTTCATCTGGTCTAAGTACATACGACTCCAGTCCAACACAAATACATTTTTTTCTTAACTGTCCTCTGAAGAGCCCAGAAAGCCATTATTGTGATGTATGACAACAGAATCATGTCAATGAATTAGCAATTTACAGGCATGGACTCATAAACTGGAGACATGAGTTCAAACCCTACCTCTCAGACATTTAATTTAGTTGACGGCATAACTCAGGTTCAAAAGCTATTTACTGCTTTAAAGATTCACTATGATGCTACTGGATTGTTATAGAATTCCAACCGTTTCAACATTGTCCTTTACTTAAAGAAGCCTATTACCTTTACTTGATCCAGTTCATGTGACTCCAAACCTATAGTGGTGCCCTCTGAAATGGCTTACCGAGTCCATCAGTTATAATAAAATACTACAATTAACTCAAATAAAATGGACAGTGAAATAATTCCAGAGGTCAGTATTCCATTACCAAGTCACCTTCATTTACACTGGAGACTCTCTGACACTGATCCAGCTTTTTCAGAGCCAGGTTTCAGAGTGAACAGGATGTTTGGCACTCCTATTTATATATTTCAGCCAAGGGTTCCTGATTGGACCAGATTACAGTCCCAATTAGGGAACTCATTCTATGAGGTCCAGCTGGTTGAACCTGCCTTCAAAGTTTGAACTGTTCTTTCTGCCCGACCATTGGATGATCTGCTGCTGTCCTTATATGGCGGATATCATGCGACTTTAGGAAATACTCAAATTCCCTACTGGTAAACAATGGCCCGTTCTCTGTGACCAACGCTTCCAGAAGTTTGTGTATTGCAAAAGATGAGCACTGTTTTTCTATTGTAATCCCAGTGTTTGACAAATGAACTTTATGCACATCCAGCCATTTTGAGTGGGCTTCCAAAATGACCAAGAACGTTGAGCCTGTGAAAGGACCTGCATTGTCAATGTGCAAGAGTCCAGGGTTTATCCAGCCCTGGCTGCCAGACATAACTTCTGGCCAACATCGTCATTTTGGAAACCCATGGATATCGGGCTGTGAC